CAGAATGCCTGAGATGAGAAGTGCTCCAGATGTGCTTTATTGGTTGTGGGCTTCTAAATACTCGATATGGTGGCCCAGGCATGGTAGTGCGTGCCTTCAATTCCCACTCCAGAGGCAGAGGCAGGTGGAGCTCTGAATTCAGGGCCAGCCTGGTCTTGAGATAAAAATTCTAAGAAATCCAGACATACACATTACACATATACCCTGGATATAGTTTTTATACAGTATTTTCAGTGTACTTGCATTTTAACTGTGACCATGATCTGTGAGGCATAGAATTTCACACCTACTGCTTTTCATAGTTGCTAAGAATGTTTTGGGGTATTTTGAATTCTCAAGTTAAGGCTGCTCAGCTTACGCCATTTTCTGTGTGTACCGTGTGGAACACTGTTGTCTGTCATCAGAGGCTGCCCTGCTCAAGTTTGCTTGGGTTGTTTTTCTTAGGTGATGTTTCTTGGGTATATAGCAGAGAAGACCTAATTAAAAATAATAATAACTCGATCCCTTTGATAGAAAGGATTGTTATGGACTAACAAACAGCTGTCAAGAATGATGCCTTTTGGTCTACAGTTACCAGTGGGTGAAATTTGATGCGTGCAAACCCAGGAAGGGGCAGCTCTCTCAGGAACTCCCAGAGAGCGATGGAGCTATGAGCCTTGAACCCTTTCAGACACAGACGTTTGATGACGACCATGATGGTTCTATTCTGCCAGGTATCTTTGCCTCTCTGCTTTGAAAACAGACCGTCTTTAGCCTTCTGCATCCTCAGCACACATTGCCGGGTATTAACTGAGCCAGCCATAGACTGGAGTAAGGGAGATCTAAAGCCAGCCTGGAGCCCCCATGTTACTCACAGAACATGCTGAGAAACTTCAGTGCCTCCTTCCGTAGCTTAAGCGAGACTTAGTGGATTCTGGGAGGGTTTGACTTAAGGTGAAGTCAGAGGTCAGTGGTGGCTTTGGCCCTACCTGTGGTGTCTGTATTATCTTATAAATGGAAAGTGATCAGGGGCTCAGGAATATTAGGGTCATGCAGGATTTGTGTCTATGACAAATCACCACAGCTATTTGTTTTTTCATTGTTAAAGTAAATAGCTGTTTGCTTATTTTACCAACCAAGAGCAAAACAGGGTTGGCCTTTACAGGCGTAAGGAATTAAGAGGCTGTGTATGCATCCCAGCAAAACAGGCCTGAGATTCCCAGACAACAGTTCAGTTAAAGAATCCTTTCTTCCAGGCTCCCTGGATCTCCCCGAGCTTCAGCATGAGGCCTTTGTGTCATCTTACCAGCCAGAGTTCCTGACTCATGAACCCTTGGTTGACACTGACCTGCAGGACCTGAAGTCTCCATCCCAGTGTAGCCCAATGCAGTCCTCGGATTGAACAGGAAAGAGGTGGAGCCCACTTCCTTCTCCTCACTGTGAGTTTTACTAAAACTCACTCTGTGGAAGAAGGCAGCAGCCCAGAAACAGAGAAGATACACGTTTAATCATGGATGTTTCTGTGCTGACAGTGCGCCCCAGGGTAAACCTCAGTTGCTTTTATTTTTAGTAATAAATATATCTTGGCAGTTCCACTTATTTGTGTCTTCTTGTAGTCAGGATCATTCTTGTTCAGCTCTCCCTGAGATGAACTTAAGTCTTTATAAAGGCACTTAGTCTGTTGGGCTGCTATAACAAAATATAATAAACTAGGTAGATTATATAACAGCGAATTTATCTCTCAGAGTTTGGGGGCCCAGGAAGTCAAAGTTCAAGATGTCTGGTGATAGCTTGGCCCCTGGTTCTCAGATTGCTGTCTTGCTATGACTGCGTGGTGGAAGGGAGCTCTTGGGACCCTTTTATAAGGGAAGTGATTCTAGGCAGATCCATTCTGACCTGCTCTCCTCCCTGAGGTCGTAACTGTAACATCACAGAGGGTTTAGGATTAACAGATTGAGTCCGTGGCAGCTGCTGATTCACGACATACACAGGTGCTGAAAAGTCAATAGACTTGATTCTGATCCTAGTTAGGAATATCAGATCACCAGCCCAGCAACCCAGGCCCCAGCTGTATTTTCTTATATCATTAGAACAAGTTCTCTGCTTCTTCCCAAATTAGGAACTCATATATTTATCTTTTTTTGTCAAACTTGGCGCCCTTTTGAAGAGATAAAGTCATCTTTACTCAATTTTTTATTAAAGCGTGCACTTTCATCCAGTGTTAGCACATGTTCAGATATGACATATTTGAGGATCTTTCCCTTCCTCCATATAGACTCATTGTCACTTCAGTTGGACACAGTTGGACTTTTTAGACCCCACATGTGCCATTGAAGGGTGGGGGTGGGGTGGGGGAGGGCTTGTGAAAAAAAAAACGTCTTTGGAAACAGGTTCTCACTTCTGATCTCAGCTGGCTTTGAACTCACAGATCTACCTGCCTTTCCATTGCTTGGAATAAAAGTGTGCAACACCTGTAGGCCTGGCCTAAAATGAAACTCCTAGTTGATCCTTTATTCAGGTTGTAGTCCAGTGGGCCAGTATTTTTATAAGATAAAAGGATGATGCTCTAATAAACTGACACAAACCGGTTTGGAGCACCATTCTCCTGTGTCCTCGCCTCTTCCTGGTAAATGTGCAGCTGTGAACAGCCAAGTGATGTGGTGCACTGATGTACAACCCAGCGGATTATAACAGGTTCACAGCTTTTGAACCACAAAACCTGAGTCCACTAACTGCATACATTTATGAAATTGGTGGGTGCAGTGGCCCGTGACTTTAATCTGAGTACTTTGGAGGTAGAGGAAGCTGAGTTCAAGGCCAGCCTGGTCCACATAGTGAGTTCCGGGACAGCCAGAGCTATATAGTCTCAGAAAAAAAATTTAAAAAAAAAAAAAAATTAAGGAGTCAACACCTACATCTTTTCAAAGTAAAATTCACATCCTACTAAAATACATCAGCTATGGGAAGGTTGCTTTCAACTATAGTATGTATATTGTTCACATATCCTATAAGGAAACAGAACAAGCCATGACAAAGTTCAGCCCGGCAGTGCTTCTCCTTCAGTGATGATTCAGGGCCGGTTCTTACCCTCTTGCTAGTCAGTGATTAATTTTCAAACAGTTAAGAATTCTCTCCATTTGGAGAAACACACAATCCCTACACAATGTTTTAAACTATTCAACCTCTAAGAATTTGACTCATACATGACTTCGTTACCGCATGTACTATACATAACACAAAGTATCTACTGTATGTGCCAACTAGTGTGTGTGAGAAGACCGTGGACTTGCGGTTCTTCACTACTCTTGTTTAGTGTGACTAACACCAGGGCTTGGCAGGACAAGCAGGTAGATTTTACTTTTTCTGGGGAACCGTTGGTTACTAGATTTGTGTTCTCACGGGGCCAGACGAAGAGAGAGAGCATTAGACAATAAATGCCAGCTAGAAATCCTCAGAGATCAAAGGCCTCTGCAGAATATTTTGGTTTTGGTTTCTTTCTTTGTTTTTAACCAGATAAACTCCTGACACATCTCTCTTGCTGTTTCTAATGGCCCCAGAGCCCCAGAGAATGGTGGGAAATCCTCATTGCTACAGTTCTCACTTTCTCACTTCAGAGAACAAAAGAGCTGTGCATAGGTGACAGTTAGACTCCTTTCCCCATGCCTCAATGGCACGGTGTAAGTCTGTCCCTAACAATTGACTGGCTATATGGACACATCACTAGTTATTAATACTTTTATTCCCCGTTTCTTTTTATGTGGAGGGTGGGGAAGAGGATCAAGACAGTGTTTTTCTAGGTAACTGGCTGTCCTAGAACTCATTCTGTAAACCAGCTCACCTCTGCCTCCTGAGTGCTGGGATCAGTGTGCGCCACCATGCTGGACTTACTTCCAGTTTCTAATAGGTGCACTTTTCTGAGCTGGTGGCTGTCTTTAACCAAACGGCAAACGGTATCATGACCTTTGGCTCACCTCCACTGTTGCTCTAGAAGGTATCCTGTAACTTTCCGTTCAGTCTGACTTCTTCCTTCAGTGGGGATTAGCCATAGTTGAACCTTTACCTCAGAGACCTAAGACTTACATTTAAGGATGTCATTTGCCCCAAGCGTACCTACTTCCTTGTATCCCTGTGCCTGTGATTTCCCCACCCTTTGCCTGAGAACCTGCCATGGGCTCTCTATTCCTTAGGGCCGCTCCTTAGCAGTGGCCAATATGCAAAGATTCCCTTTAGAGTAAGACTTAGGCTGAAAACAGTTTTGGAGAGCCTAATGCGGTCTGTCTAAGGTGACCTGAAAGACTTGTCATGGTGTAGTAAGGTTTGTTAGAGAAATATTTCAGCTCCACAGAAGGAAACATGGAAACTTCCATGGCTGTTTTCAGGGGGTTGTAAAGAACACACAGAGGACCAGCCTCTACAGCCTTTAAAAGTCTCTTGCCAGTCTGAGAGTCCACAGTTCTGGAAGAAGGGCAAGAATAGGGCATTTCACTCCCACTAACACCAAGGAAGTGAACACTAGCAAGGCCCAGTGATATAGTTCAGAATTAGACCAGCACAGAGGCTTAGGCTAACTCAGGGGCAGAGGAGCATTTCAAGTATCTGTGAGCCAGTGCTTATGTCGGAATGCAGGAGCAGTCGTCATTGAAAGTCCTGCATACCCAATCTAAAGGACCTGCCCTCGTTCAGAAGAGTGATCACTACTCCAGATGTCCTCAGATACCCTGTGTGTAATGTGAGCAATAAAGGGAGGGGCTGGCAGGATGCTGCTGGTGTGGTAAACGCCACATTGCTTATATTCACAGGGCCACGTGGCCCAGGCATAGCGAACAGCAACCACGGTGCCAAGACAGGCATTAAGACCCAAGATCAGGGTCTGGGTGGAGAAAGTGTCCACGGGAGCTGGAAGCCATTTGCACTGATGGTCACTGCAACAGGAGATCTAACAAGAAAAACAAAGGCCAAGCAAGTTAGAAGATTGTACCAAAACTCTGGAAACTGCTCTTTCAGATATACCAGAGAGGGGAGAGAACGAGGCCGCTCTGAGCCAAAGACCAGTTTCCTAATTAGAGAAGACCCTGTACCAGACTGGGTCTGGTTGACAGAGCCACAAGTTAATAATAAATGTCCAGGTAGGCTAAAGATAGAGCATGGAAGAGAGCATGCCCAGCATGTATAAGGTGCTGGGTTTGATCCCAGCACCAGAAAGGAATTGTTACACTCAAGTGGTTTAATAATTAAAATCAATTAGAGCAAATACTAACTTACGGAAGGAGACAAGGAAAATTAGTGAAGTATTCAGAGATAGAGAAATGTATCCTGAACATTTCTCTAGTGGTCCCTCCCTCCAGACAGCAAAGCCAGCTGTGGCCCTCTAGCACTCCCAGAGGAGGGAGGTACTCAGTAAGAGAAGGACACCAAGCAGCCATGGCCACTGAACCCTTAGAAAGCAAGCAATCCAGAGAAGACACATTATCCAGGACCCAAAGACTAAATTCTGTCCTAACCTCAACTGTGGTCCAGGGCCAGGTAAAAGACAGGCCATCAGCTAACAAAGAGGAGAGTATAGTAGACCCTTCTTGACTGTCTCTAAATTCACCTTAAGCCCGTGTGGAAGGAACCAGAGGACAGACACTGACGAGGTGTCCATGCACACACTCCTCAGCCCTAAACGCCTGCATGAGGATTGTCTGTCACTATTGTGGCATCTGCTACAGTGTCCTCTTTCCACAAATCATCTAGCCCGGTGGCCTCAGGTTTCCCAAAGACACCCCCATTTAGGAATGTCTACCTTCAATTATCAAAGATTCTATCCATGTCTTTAATAAGCGGCCCCAGTTCCGCAGTAGTGACCCCGGCTGGGTAATGGCAGGAAGCAGACTTGCCACATCAACTCATCCTAATCACCAAACTTAAGCTTTTCAAAGGAGATGCTAAACTCTTAAGAATTAATGGCTCAGAGGTTAAGAGCACACTGTCTGTTCTTCTGGAGGTCCTGAGTTCAATTCCCAGCAACCACATAGTGGCTCACAACCATCTATAATGAGATCTTCTGGCCTGCAGGATACATGAACACTGTACACATAATAAATAAATCTTTAAAAGAATGTCCTTTAAGAATTTCTGGTTTTAGCCGGGCGGTGGTGGCGCATGCCTTTAATCCCAGCACTTGGGAGGCAGAGGCAGGCGGATTTCTGAGTTCGAGGCCAGCCTGGTCTACAGAGTGAGTTCCAGGACAGCCAGGGCTACACAGAGAAACCCTGTCTCTAAAAACAAAACAAAACAAAACAAAACAAAACAAACAAACAAACGAAAGAATTTCTGGTTTTAGCACAGTGCAACAAAGGAGACAACCAAGGTTTAGAAGATTACTTTAGAGCAATGACAGTTTAACAGACAAAGGATGAATGAGGCCATTCTCTGAACCAAGGTGGCTGGCCTGAGAAAGGAAACAGAAAAGAGATATGGTTTATTAGGGGCTAATAATAAATAGAACAGTAATTTTCTCTTCCTTGGTTGCACTGTCAAACTTGTGTGCAAACAAATGATCGGTAGTTACGTATTTGGCCCTCAGAGATGAGCTCGCCACCACCCCAGCCAACCAGCTTCACCACACTGCAGTGATGGAAAGAACCTCAGTACCACAGAGATTAACCCTTCTCTTCCCCCTGCTAGTCTCACCTCAAATGTCTTGTTATCGTGCCTTTGCACCTGGATTTCCTGGTCATACGTGAGGTAGAGCAGGCTACTGTGAGCCAAGAGTTCTATCTTCTTAGGTAGTGGTCCTTGAAAGGTCAAATTTTTCTCACCATACGCCACAGCTCGAGCACCCAAGTGCAGGCGATAGGCCACAGTCTGTTTGTCTCGAGGGTGGATGCTACAGAGCAAAAAAAACAAGTGACTGGTGGCTCACAGTGACCACATATTACAAAGGAGAGCACCCGGAGCACTCAAGGATAAAATACATAATTCTTCAAAGATGTACTGATTTTTATGTGTATGAAAGTGTTGCCTGCATGTATGTCTGTGCAACACATGCATATATGGTGGCCAAGAGAGGGTGTCAGATCTTCTGGAAGTAGAGATGCAGACAGTCAGAAGCCACCATCCAGGTTCTGGGAACCAAACTGAGGGCCTCTGGAAGAATAGCAAATGTTCCTAGCCACTGAGACATCTCTCCAGCCCCTAAAATCTTTCATTTATTTTTTTTTTTTTAAAGGAAAAGGCGGAGGAAGGGGAGGAAAGAATTTCTGGGTGTGGTGGCACATGCCTGTAATCACAGCACTTGTGAGGCAGAGGCAGAAAGATCACAAGTTCAAGGCCAGTCAACACAGTCAACACAGTGGGATCCTGTCTCAAAATGCTAAAGGAAAAAGGGGGCCGGCGGCCCAGGGGGGTGGGGGAGGCGGAGTCAACTGGGGGAGGCGGAGTCAACTGGGGGGAGGCGGAGTCAAAGAAAGAAAAGAGGAAGGAGGAGAAAGAGAAGAGGAAACAAAGGATGAAGTTCGCTGAAATCAATGATCAGTGGCTAGTGACCGTAAGAACAGTGGTAAATGCTAACAGATGAAGCTCTGACCTTCAGTGGGTTTAGAACCTTAGAGCAACAGAGGGCTAGACGGAAAAGGAGTGAGAAGGACGGAGTATAAGGGCGTGGACAGGACTGTTAGACATACTGTGTATGCCATCTATGCTGGGATGGTCTTCCTTTGGGTCTGTCTGCCTTTATTTGTTCAATAAATCTTATCAAGCTCCTTGAATAATCGAATGGTAATGTATGAGGCTCCATTTCACATCTGAAATCTTGACTCCTACAGCACTGTTCATTGGAACGGACAACGAAAATGCCACCCTTCCTGAGTCCACGTTAGAATCCCATGGCCTCCTCTCACTGGAGGTGCTTGCATTCATGTTTAGCTTAGTGTAAGCAAGTGACCTGTGTGGTATGCTGGCTAGCCACCTAGGTTGTCTTGACACAGCTTAAGTCATTTTGGAAAAGAGAACCTCGATTGGGAAAATGCTCTCACCTGATTGGCCTGTGGGAAAGCCAGTAATGCATTTTCTTGGTTAATGATTGATGTGGGAGGGCCCAACCCAGTGTGGGTGGAGCCAGCCACCCCTGGGCTGGTGGTCCTGGGTTCTATACGAAAGCAAGCTAAGCAAGCCATGGGGAACAAACCAATAAGCAGCAAGGGCATCAGCTTCTGCCCTTAGGTTCCTATCCTGCCTACGTTTCCCTCCTAACTCCCTTTGAGGATGGAGTGTGATGTAGAACTGTATGCTGGGACTGGAGAGACAGCTCAGCCATTGAAGGCCAGGCTCACAGCCAAAAATATAAGAACTGTATGCTGAAATCAACTCTTTTCCACGTAGCTTTTGGTCATGGTGGTTTGTAACAATGTAGAAACCTTCACTAATTTATGTAGCTTCTGGATGGCAGCACTTATTTGCCAAGATAAGACTTATAAGATATGATAGAAGGAAGATAAACTTGGAGACTCGCTTTTTAGTGTTGGTACTAGGGCTTGAACTAGGAGCTAATGAGCTACATCTCAACTCTCTGGAGATGTTTAGTCTGGATCTATAAGCAAAGTCTCCATTGACCTGCTTTGATGGAGTGTAAACATGACTGGCTTTGTTGTATCAAAGCTCTAAGGGAAGTGCAAAGGGGGCTTTGTTTGGTTGACTGGTCAGGGTTCCTGTGAGGAGGGATGGCAGGGTGGGAGAGTTATGCTTTGATTTGGGTTACTGCAGAATATCCTAACATAGATGACATCTAAGCTCCAACCCATAGTCTAATCCATCCCGTTACAAGAAAACATCACAGGGAAAGACTCCAGGCAAGAGCATTCCCAGGTAACCCACAGCTGAAGAGGCAACCATACCTCCCAAAAGGTGAGTCTCTATCACAGAGATCCATAGCGACAGCCATGAAAGTGTTGGGCATCTTCAGGTTGGGGACAAAGCCAAAGTCTGCTGTCTGATGCCAGCGGATCTCTGGAAATCCAGGATCTGATGAGTTCTTTAAAATGTATGAAGACAGCTAAAAAGAAGAAAGATGCTGTCATTTTTATTGCCTTGGAACCCTGGATGCTTCTCATCGGCACTTTGCTTCTGCTTCACTGCGTGTCCAAACATTTATTCAAGTATTTTCTGAGCATCTCACGTTATTCAGGGTAGACTCCAACAACCACATGGCCTTTTACAATGAATGTACTCGGAGGCTTATTTTGCCTCCCACTCAGTCCAGGCTGGCCCTGTGGTTTGCTGAGTGTGGCAAGACTCTTATGCAGCTTCAAGTCTTTTCCCAGAGTCCTTTGCTTCTGGCTTCATGCTCTTGAAATCATGTATTGGCCATGAGAGGGGGAAAAAATGTCCAGCTACTCTGTTTGAGAAATTTTAAAGAGAGGAAACCTTGGACAGCTTATGGAGATAGCTAGAAATACCAGCTAAGGGGGACAATCGTGTTCATTCTAGATCCTATAGTCAAATTATGGCCACACGGCCAGGCAGTGGTGGCACATACCTTTAATCTAGGATTTAGGAGGCAGAGGCAATCAGAACTCTGAGATTGAGGCCAGCCTGGTCTTCAAGGTGAGTTCTAGGATAGCCAAAGCTACACAAAAAAAAACTCTGTCTCAAAAAAGAAAAAAGGAAGGAAGGGAGGAAGAAAGGAAGGAAAGAAGAAAGAAGAAAAATTATGACCACACAAGCAAGTCTCACAACACACAGGACAGACGAGCCAGCCATGGACTGTAAGTAGATTACATTGTAAGGTACTGATCTAGGGTAATTTGCTACAAAGCAATAGGGAGCTGAGAGATGGGTGTGCAGCAGAGGGCTGGACACTGCAGAGAAGCAAAGAAGTCCACTCTGTATGTGGCAAGTCTCAAAAAGACTCATATCTTCACTCCTTATATCCACACCTCTTGAACGTGACTGCAGTTCTTCCTACTATCCACCCACTGATTCTGAGTTCAACTATGGGGCTTGCTTTGGCCTTTTTGGAAGCTGAACTTAGTATGTCTGTGCCTAGCCTGTGCTGGTTCTACTTGTGTCTTGTACTTCTGTTGGCACCAACAGAGGAAGGTGACTGGGCTAGCCTACTGCTCTCTAGACAGGGATGAAGACTGTTGTACCAGCTGGTTTTGTGTGTTGAGACAAGCTATCACCATCAGAGGAAGTAGCCTCAGTTGAGGAAATGCCTCCATGAGATCCAGCTGTAAGGCATTTTCTCAATTAGTGATCAGTGGAGGAGGGCCCAGCTCATGGTGGGTGGTGCCTTTCCTGGGCCGGTGGCCCTGGGTTCTATAAGGAAACAGGCCGAGCAAGCCAGTAAGCAGCACCCCTCCATGGACTCTGTATCAGTGCCTATCCTGACTTCCTCCACTGATGGACTATGAAGTCTGGAAGTGTAAACCAGATACACCTTTACCTCACCAACTTGCTTTGTTTTTGTCATGGTGTTTCATCGCGGCAATAGAAACTCTAATTAGGACAGCTGTAGAACGGAACTGTCCTCTAACAAGCCCAGTTCCGCTTCATCTGGAGCTGAGTTCCGACTAAGCCCCCCAGGGTTCTTAAGGGGCCCTGGTAGGTCTAAACAAGATCACCCAACCCCCAGTTCCTCTGGTATGTAGACTATAACATAAAGAATATTCTGAGCCATGGAATTTGGAAGTGGTCTGTGTCACAGCAACTGCTATGAGTGCTTACAAAGCTGTAACGTTCTGCTGGACAGATCTGAGCCTAACAAAATCAATTTGTAAGCACATAAAATGGTATGGATTGAAAGCTAAAGTGGAGGTACAGCAATTTGAGTATATGCATGTCAAATAGACAGCAGTCACTATTATACAAGGGCATCCCTCATAATATATTTAGAAATTTTAAAAACAAACAAAAAAACAGGCAAAAAACCATATGAGAAGCTATCCAAGGAGCCCTGCTTGGACAAAGAAGAACTGTTTGAGAAGCAATTCTTAAAGAAGAACTGCTGTTTCTGAGAGAAGGTGCACTCTACCCCGGGGGGGGGGGGGGGGCGGGGGTTGTGACGAAAGTTCGAAATTGGAAAAACAGCCGGCCAAGTGTGTGAACACTGTTGCTGTTTGATTGTGTGAATGGTGGGAGCCACTGAGTGTGTCATGGCTACGGAGTCCTGTGGCTCAGCTGAAAACTTTAAAATGGCCAGCCTTAAAAGAATCTCAGTTCAATGAGTGCCACTGAAACTGCTGACATAGTAAAGGTAAGTTGTAAAGACAGCATGGTGACTGGACAGAGAAAATGACCGCCCATGAAGCGTTGTGATGTTGTTACCTAGCTTAGAATTTGAATATCCACAAAAATACACATATTGAAGAACTGGTCCCCAGTCCACGGTGCTGGTAAGGAGGTGAAAGAATCTTTAAGAGATGGGACCTACTAGGAGGAAGTTAGGTCACTGGGAAGTTGATTTCAAGGTGGATACTAAGGTGCCAGTGTCTTGCCCCCAACCTCAGGTACCATAAAGTGAAAAGGCTTCTCTGACACATACCCCCACAATGATGACAATGGGACCAACTAGTTACAGACTGCAATCTGAGCAAAACAAGCCATCCTCCTGTTTAGTTGACTTGTCTCAGGAACTCATTATGGTGGCAAAAGGCTTAATATTTTTAGACATAGACAGACGGACAGACAGACAGACAGACAGACAGATGCAAGCACCCAAGCCAGACCTTTCTAGTGAGGTAATAATGGGAATGAGATGCTCAGAAATGAAACAAACCAACAGGACCAGAGAGCCAACTTGACAAAGGGCTCAAGAGAAAGCACTAAGGACATAGCTTAGAATCTGGAACATTTGGATTAACTTTTGGGGACCTAGGGCAACTCACCAAAGACAACCAGAACGTTCGGAAAATATTGTTCCAAAAAGAGCCTGTGAAGGATCAACAGCTGGTGTAGCATCAGTCCATGCATTCATTCTCTTAACAAATGTTTACTTGATGCAGGCACCAACCTCACCAAGAAGATAGAGTAGGAAACAGAACAAAACAAAACAAAAAAATGCAAATTTTTTACAAGATCATGTTCCAGAGGAGAGACATGACTAATGAACAAAATAAGAAAAATGTGGTAATTTACTTTATTATCAAGAAAAATAATAGGTATGCTGAAAAATATATGGTATATCTATTTTAACACATATGACATATATATTATAGAAAAGAGAGAGAGTTCCAGGGCTGAACAAAGACATCAACAGAGAAAGCAAGCTATGTAGATACTAAGATGATACACTCTGACACTTATGTGACCCTTATATCCTTATATGATATTATATCCTTTGTGGTGGAGACCTGTAGCTTGCTTCTCACCAACACACTATGGTAATAGGATGTTACTCCTATGATTACATCCTGTCACATGGCAAAGAATGCATTTGCAGATGTAACATTGCTAACCAGTTGGCTTCAAGATCACCAAAAGGGAGGGAAGCTTGGTGAGCCTGACCAAGTCAGGGGTGCCCTTCAGAGACGGTCTGGAGCCATGGAGTGGCCCTGCTGCCCTTCAGAAATCTGACTGCCATAGGTCCTATAGCAGCTTCAAGAAAATTAACTTTGCCAACAATCATGAAACCTAGACAAGAACCCCAAAGTCTCAGAGACTCTAACTCTGCCAGACACCATTTCTGTAACCACAAGCAGAGAATGTAGCTAAGCCATCTGTGTCCCAGATCACACCACACTCATGGGAGTTGAGAGATAATAAATAAATATATGTTGGATGGTTTCAAGCTGTTAAATATAGTACCATGTAGCAATAGAAAATAAACACTTTGCAGGTAGGAGAAAAAGAATTAAAGAATTTAAAGTGTGGAATTTGAATATCCACAAAAATGCACATATTGAAGAATTGGTCCCCAGGCCATGGTGCTGGTAAGGAGGTGAAAGAATCTTTAAGAGAAGGGGCCTACTAGGAGGAAAGTGTACTTAAGGGGAAAAAAATCAGGCAGCCAGTAAAATGAGTTAAATGAAATAGGCAGAGAGTGTTGGGAAGTAAGGTCAGAGGGTGATGGGAACAAAGCCTTGTTAGCATCAGTTGCTACTCAATTGGGGTGGGGCACACTGGAACCTTGACTGATACATTGATAATGTCCTAAAGAGGAAGAGTCAAGGTAGAAGCAAGAAGGAAGGCTCTGATAGGAGACAACAAGGCAAGGGAGAGTCTTTGGCTAGGGATGGATCAGTCGAGGTAAGTGCTCTAGACTCTATACAGTGAGAAGTCGGATTAACCACTTCACACTGAAAGTTGATATGCCCCTCAACCTGCAGAGAACAGAAGCTCTTGGAAGATCCTTTACCTAGTCCAAGTACTGAGAACAAATGACTGTTGAAGGCCAAGCATAAATTCAATGCCAATATGAATCCCTCCAAAGGGGTTCGTTGAGGAAGAAGCAGAGAAAATAATGTAAGAGTCAAAGGAAGGGTATGCCTTTAGAGGAATGGACCACTAACTTCTGATTCTAACACGGACAAAACAAGAACATTGCAAAGTTTTTACAAGATCACATTCCAGAGGGGAGACATAACCAATGAACAAAATAGGACAAATGTGATAACTCACTTTATCATCAAGAAGATAGTGTGTGTGTGTGTGTGTGTGTGTGTGTGTGTGTGTGTGTGTGTTTTCTGGGGCTGAACAAAGACAACATAAGAGAGAGTAAGCTATGTATATAATGAAGCATGTTAGAATTCTAAGATGATACACTCTGTGTGTATCTAAGGATACACACACCCTTGCATTATATGTGAGTTACACTGGAACTCACAGCATCTATGATTACCTGCACAAGAGCTGTAAAAGACTGTGCTTGCCAACACTATCATGAAAATATGAGGGGCTCATGGAGCCCCTCCCCCTTCCCCTCCCCCTCCCCCTCCCCCTGAGGATTTATATATCGTTAACAGTTGCTAAGGAGAGACATTTCCTCCAGTGATGTAGCTACTGGTAAGGCACCATGCTCCTGTAAACAAACCTTCACCCACGATTCCACATGGTCGGACACACACATACTAATTCACATACTCACACACATACACACTCATACACACACAAGACATGAAAGTAGAAGAGGAGCTACCTGGAAAGAAGCAGGATTAGCAGGAGGGGGAGACAAGAGACTGAGCAATGGAGGGTATGTGACCAAATTGCTTATATACACAAAGAAAATGTCCTGATGAAACCTACCATTATGTATAACCAGTATACCATAATAAAAGATCAAATAAAAAGGAAGAAAAAAACCTTACCACTATGGTGACACAGTATTTCCTGCTATTTCTTTCTTTCTTAGTTCCCTGGTACTTGCAAGCACCCTGTTCTTTGATTTAGACAGCATCTTCTTCCCAGTCCTAGTTCCAGCCAATGAAAGACATCCACCTACTCTCTGTCTCTCTTACAAACATGATCTAACAATAAGTCAGACCGCAGTCTGGCCAGCATCCAAGTTGTCATTTGACACTATTTCAAAACGTCTGACCCCATCAGAGAAGTTACGTTCTACACAGACTGTTCTACCCAGTCTTACTCATCATGCTGCTGCCCAGAAAATAACTCACATCATCACATGGCCAGATGAAACTTTAAGGATGTTTTCCGATTCGTGAGTGATGAGTGTGACATTAGGAAAACAGAAAGCTTGAAACAGTGGCAAGCAGGAGCCTTGACTACGGCACAGAATTAAAGGAACATTCCAGTGCTCTTGGTAAGACTCTGCCATGCAAATCTGTCTTTAACATAGGAAATGACAAACTGTGCTTCACACCAGAATCTTGTAAAAACTAAAAGAATAAGGCTGAGGAGACAGCTCAGCCAATACAGGGTTGGCATGGAAAGTTTGATCACCGGAAATCACATTCTAGCAGCGTGGAAGCTGAGACAGAATTCCAGGCTGATAAGTGACTTCACTGCAAAAAATGACGGCCAGCCCCTGACAAGCCATACCCAAAGTTGTCTTCTGGCCTTCTACATGCAAGTACATGTACCTGCACCAACACACACACACACACACACACACACAGAGAGAGAGAGAGAGAGAGAGAGAGAGAGAGAGAGAGAGAGAGATCTAATGAGTCATCCATCTTTCAATCCAAGGACTGTAAATGGAACCAGAGTCACCAGCAAGTGTCATAACAGGATCAAACCAACAAAGCCACTATAAACACCCTAAAGCTCACACACAGACCTGCTACAATCAGCCCTCCAACTCAAAGTCCTTTCCTTAAAAGGGCAGTTGGCTGAGAAGTCTCTTCATTATCCACCGACGGCACTACTGCACCCTGGCCACGTGGGGGCGCCAGCATACTCCACACCCAAATGAAATGCTTGTGGGTTGGTTTTTTTTTTTTCCTAATCTGAAGTACAGCAAAGCTTGGTTCAACCTCCCGTGGTGTTTCTTACAAATACAAAGGCTAATGAAGATATGTAACTGCCAAACAAAGAAACCCACAGAACTGGTCACATTCAAAAGATGTTACAAATAACAGGGAAGTTTCAATCTGTTCCTCCAAGTTCTCTTTTAAACCCAGCCTCCAGATCTTCCTTCCCTCATACTTCCAGCCACCTGTCTATCAGTAACTCTTAAGTGTCCCACCAGCCCTGGTCTCTTCCATGGGCTCCAGTCCTAATTTCTAACTGTGTTCTCACCCCTGCATTATTTCAAACACCGTACGTCATCTTTCCTAACAATAATAAATGCTAACACCCAGCATGTTTTCACACAGGTTAAGTCATGTAATACTTAAAATAAGAAAGATGTTTGTTCAGAGTCACACAGCTCAAAGAGCAGGAATCCCAGATGTCTAACTCCAGGCACAGGCCTTGAACTGCTATTTTCAGTTGTCACACTGGGTATTCTCCCTTTGAATCCACAAACTTACAAATACATGTGATAATATTAAAGGTAACCAGCATATTTTTGTTGGTAATAAAGTTAAGGCTAAGAGGTAAGAGACTTCTACAAACTGTAAAATTAAAATTAAAAAAAAAAAAGACCATATGTCATGTTTTTAAGTATCCAAGTACGTATTTTTCATTCGAACTACATAATCACCTTCAAATAACCAGTACATATAAAAAAAAAGTAATCAATAATTCATGCTAGGTGAAAGAAAGGCAATAAAAACACTTTCTGGGAAACAGGGCACGGTGGCCAGGGAGACGGGTCAGTAAGCATTTGCCACAAAAGCATTGAGACTTGAGTTCAGATCCACCCAACCTGCATAAGGCCAGGATGGGTAGCACACGTCAGTGACCCAGCATTTCTTCAACAAAATAGGGAGCCCACACAGGAGAGCCAGCCCATACGCCTGTAGAGCAGCTTGCCTGGTGTTTGCAGTGGTAAGCAGTGAGACCTTGTCTTAAACAAGGACGAAGGTGAAGACTGACACCTGTCCTCTGACTTCTGTATGGACGCTGTGATATACACACAGACGCACACCATACAAACAGAAGCAAACACACAGCATACACACAGACCCTAAATACACAATTACACATAAGCACACGCCACACAGACACAAGCAAACACACACCACACAAACACACACCATACAAACACACCATACATACACAATTACACATAAGCACACACCACACAGGCACACATACACAGAAGCCTTCTTGCGGAGGAGTATGGTTTTGTTTTGTTTTCTTTTTTAAAGATGAGGTACAAGAGACAAAGGGAAGTGAAAAGAAAGTATCTACGAGGTTCACAGGGTAATATCTAAACCATGACAGTGGCCATTCAGTGGCCAGTGAAGGTTGGGCCTTCCTTTCCTAACACTTTAATTGTGTAATTTCCTACAAAAATTTTTTCATAAAAGCCAGAACTACCACTAGAAAGTCTAGGCATTGTCATGAATATAATTTTGACCTTGGCCCATGTATTTATTCCTTTTGTCTCAGGATGAATGTGCAATCCTTCTGACTAGCTCCCTCTAACCAGAAGCAGGGCTTCATCTCTTGACAGTGTTCTTTCATTTTGTATTGCAAGTCATCCTTTGTGTTAACCAACTACATACTAGGAATATAAACCTGACCTCAATAAACATAGCCACCTATACAACTCACACATTAACAAAACGAGAGCACAAGAGATTACTAAGAAAGGCCTTATCTGAGGAAAGGGCTCTAACCCAGACTGAATAATCAAAATCCTAAGATCCAATCACAAATCCTAAGATACAAGCAGAGATCCTAAGATCCTAAGAACCAATCACAAATCCTAAGATCCAAGCAGAGATCTAGGAAAGTGTATGAGAGAAAAGTTGTTTCAAACAAAGGACATGTATGATCCCTGGAAGACAGAGAGTATGGTCAGTTCTAGAGGGTATGGGGAGAACAGCAAGTCAGGGGAACGTGGGGAAATTAATGTGCTTGTTTGGTTGATCGGTTGGTTAGTAGGTCTATGACACAGCAGAACCAGTCTGAGCCAGCCTAGGAAATGCACAACCCTACACAGCATGGGATAGTCCACGTTCTTACATACAGTTGCTAAAGGTACAGTTATACAAATTCATAATTTTAACAAAAAATGGGGACTGGACAAAGCCTTGGAGGGGGTTTTATCTTTTGACCCAGCAATTTCACTTCTGGGGATTTATCTTATGGCAATAGTTAAGCTACAAGAAATGTGCTGTCAGGAAAATAGCGTGCCACGGTTTGTAAAAGCAAAATAACAAAAAGCACTTAGTTCCCATCCATTAAGAACTCACTTAAATATGTTACAATGCACCCGCAGTTCAGAATACTCGGTAATCATGACAAATCACGTTGAAGAATAATATTTATCGGCATGCAAAAGGCTTACAATACGATAGGGAGAGAAAAGACAACTATGCACAAACAAAAGTCTTTTTTTTCTTGAGTTCTCCATGGTCTTAGCTTTGTGGTGGGAATAGTCGGGACTGTTTTTTTGATTTGGCTTTTGTTTGGGTGTTTGTTTTACCTTTTAAATTTTTTTCAAGTGAAACTGGGGTGCTTTTATAATAAGAAAGATTCATCGTTTATTAACATTTTTGAAGGTGTAATCACCTTATCAGTAAGTTCATATGAACTAATATACAGCTCGGAGCCAGCACACACTGTGAGGGCAAACATGGAGCTACAAATCCTTGTGCAGGCATGCACACAGCCCACACCATCCGCACGTGCCCATAGACTCCCTTCCTCTGAACACATACCTGGACAAACCCAAATGGAAAGAAACGCTCTGTCTGACCCTGGGAGCCATAGTGGAAGGTCTGGCGCCAGTCTGAAATGAGTGCAGGAAACATGCAGGCGTACAGGTCTCTGTTATAATTTGCATTGGCCTCTCCTAAAAACAACAAAACAAAACAAAAATATCAATATTGGGAGAGGAGTTTGGTGTGGATTTTTAAAATATCCTACATTTTTTCTTCTCCCACATCCTTGCCCTGAGGTAGTGGCCTTGCGTGCCCTCAGGTTGATGGACAGAGAGGCATCAGCAAGCATGGCGCAAGTGGAGGCTTCTAAAGAGCCTGGGCTTTGGGCTTGGCTCTCTCTAGATGTTCCTGGAACTCTTTCACCGAGATGGAAATGAACTACAAGTGTGAGCCAATCTGCTAAAGGCCAGGCCACCTGAGAATCACAGTGTCCAGCACACTGTCCCCAGTAAATGAATATGAGAAACAGGCCATCCTATGTCCACCTCCCCCTAGACACTAGATAATTTAGCAGGTAACCAAGGACAAAGTGGAGACCCCAGCTGAGGCAGCACAGATGGGAGAACCACCCTGCTCACCCAGAGGAAAGAGGGCTAAAGAAAATGATAAACTCACTGGGTTTTGAAACCATTAACTCTTTGGGGTACTTTGTTACACAGCAAAAGCTAACTGACACCAATGGAGAAAGGACACGCTTACCCTGGTACCATACCACCCCTTTCAAAGTCATGTTTTGCAGTGGGTGGATCATGGCATTCCAGAGGACGGAATGTGTTACTGGTCCAGCCACATCAAGAGATGGAACCACCCTGAAATCAACAAGATGAACAAAGCCAGCAATCATATGACAGTCAGCCTATCCAGGTTCACTTGGACAGACCTCACACTGAAACAGCCCAGAGGCAATCCAGTCTGTTGCGTTGCACTTGAAAATGTGGAAACAGTCTTGCAATTCCACCAGGCTCTTCTCAGGGAAAGTGTAGCAATCGGTTCTGTGTGAGTCCACAGTGGGCCATGCCAGTTTCCAGATAAGGCCATTAAAGTCAGAGGGAGGGCTGATTTACAAGCAATAAATTCAGCTAACTACTACTCAGTAGACAGACTAGCTTAAGTGTGCTGCTTTGGGGAGTAATGGCATGATGATTTTCCACACAGCTAAACCATTGTATACATGCTTAATCTTTCTGCAAGATAAATTCCCAGCAATGGCATTATGGAGTCAAAAACAATTTTGTTTTAGCTTTGGATACGGTCCCAGACTTCTCTGAGGAATACATATACACGTTTATCTTTGCGGTAGCTATAGATGAGAATTCCCACTTTCCTACTTGGTTCGTTTAAGTCCCCTCCTACTCTACTAAAAGCCATTTCTTTTCTCCAAACTTAATATCTCCATCCCACCTTCACTCAGGTATTTATCCAAATACCCAAACTGTACTAAGGAAAGAACTCTCCCTCCTCCCAGAAGCTTTCCCAGAGAGACAGTGCTCACGAAGGTAGAGCACACATACCTGGTCATCTCCATCTGCATATAGTCTTGCTTTTTGTTTGTTTGCTTTTTTCTAACTAGTTCTTTCTCTTCTGAAATATACTTCCCACCCAGCTTTTCCCAAGCAGGCTTTCATACTCAGTACACTAACATATTTTTAAATATATATTTACACATTCATTCTTCCTATGTGGCAGTTTACTCTTGAGGAAAGAGAGCACAGTGGTTAGGAGGAGGCCAGGCATTGGAGCCAGACTGGCCTATACTTTCTAGTCCCATCCACAAGCCAGGTCCTGATCTTCTGTAGGACTTGGTATCTTTAACTGTGGTTTAGTAGCTGTATCTACACTTTAGGGAGATGTTTAAAAAAAACCATAGGAACCAGTGCAGATAAAGACCCTACAACAGTACCCTCCACAGAAAGCTGTCAGCAAGCACTTAGCTATTGCTGTCACTGAATTAAACAAGTATAATCCCCTCTTGACTTGTTCCTGGATGACTGTGGTTGCCCATGACAACAACACTTGCCCTGTGCATGAATGAACTCCAGACACTCAGGACAAACATGAACACTCAGCACGCACTTACCTCCTAAGAGGACATGAGGACTCCTCACTTTTACATTCATTCCTCATGGGCTTCATTGTGGGCTGACGAACTCTTTCAACCTTTGTATCAGGGACTCCACAGGCTTTCAGTGTCCTTCTAGATGACCAGACTTCAATGGGTGTCCCACCCCAACTGGAGGAGACCAGCCCAATGGGATATTGCAGAGTATCATAGAGATAACGCCCAAAGAGCCAGCATACTGCAGACATGTAAGTGAAATTTCCATGGCCCAGGTTTCCTGTGCAGAGAAAGAGTTAGAGGGAAAGTTAGGAGAAAGGCAGAAGGATACGAACTGGAGCTGTAACCTGAGTAGAGCCAGCAGTGGGCTCCTTTCTAAGATGAGGGCTAAGGACAAGATACAGCCCAGAATGAAGCATGACTTCCAAAGCTCCCCTAAGGAGAAGGATCTTTTTCCACAGGGGAAAATTACAGTGTTCGTGACAGTTTCCCTTGATTGCTGTTCAGTTTGCTTGTTTGTTTGTTTTGTTTCAGTTGCTCAAACTGCTTTTTCCCATAATGAGGAAACAAGAGCTCTCAGTCTGGCATGAAGGCAAATGGAAACAACTGTGGCGTAGTCTGAACATAAATAATCCCCTTACATAATCAGGGATCCAAAACTCTAAGCAGGTTTTTGTGAAACCCCAACCCCTCAGGCACACAGGAATCCAGGAACATGAAGTCTTCCTCAGTAGATACGTGGGACAAAACCTGTAAGGTCCCTTTGCCACCTTATATCCCCTCCCCTTCCCCTAAGGCAAACAGCCAGTAGGTAGAGAGAAGTGTTTTCTTCTGGGTGATGTATGACCACTTCCATAGCTGAAGTAATGAAATTGTGGGCACGTGAGTGCTGAGGATTCCAGCAAAAAGGGAGAGACAGCAACCATAACCAGTTTTGCTTTCACCGGTCTCATTTCTTTCAACTGTTCATATTGCCCAGGAACCAACACAAGCTGGTGTGTGTGAGCTGTCCATACTAGAGGAAGTTGAAGAGGGGAGGGGAAGACGGAAAGCCACACAGAGACAGGATCAATGCAAACCAGTACATGTAAAAGCCTCCATGAGGCACTCCGTTTAATCCTATAAAGGACCCAAACCCAAGAAGTGCAATAGGAGAAAATCGATCAATTTCTGACAAATTAGAATTGATTGAGCACCTATTATGTGTCCAGAACTACACAGTGGTTGAGATACAGCAATGAAAGAGACACAAAGAGTCTCTCCTCCTAAATTCTAAAGCTTCCTGAACGGGTCCAGGGATTAGCTAAGTAAAATAAGTGGCAAAGTACGGCGTCTTAAGAGACACAAACAAGTTTGAGCTGGAGTTGACAACAAAGAAGAGCTACATCTCCAGTACCATGCCTACCTGCGGCTACATTCCCTGCCAAAATGATAATGGACTAGCCCTCTGAAGCTGTAAGCAAGCCCTCAGTTAAAAGTCATTTGGAGGGACTTCATCTCATTCATAACTGTGTCTCTAATGTCTAGGATATAAGCATGGGACATATATGCTTGCCAGTGTGAGGTGTGAGGAGCCAGTTAAAGGCAGACCTACCGATGAGTAGGTAGAGGAGAAAGGTAACCAAAAAGGATAATTAGGAGACCAGAGGACAGACAAGAATTTGTTTATTTATTTGTGTGTAAAGTATGTGTCTTTGTGCGCATGTGCACATGTGTGTCAACATGTGCAAGTATGTATGTGAACATGTGTGGAAGCCGGAGGTAAGTGTCAGGTGTCTTCCTCAATCATCCTCTACCTCATTCATTCATTCATTCATTCATTCATTCGTTTGTTTGTTTGAAATTGCCTCTCACTATTTATTCAGCTAGGCTGACTGGCCAGTAACTCCCAGAGATCACTTTGTCTCTGCCTCCCCTGTGATGAAATGACAGACATATGCTGCCACATCTGCCTTTAAAATGAGTGCCGGGGTTCTGAATTCGGGTCCTGGTGCTTACATTGCCTCCAGAGCAGTGGTCATGGTGGTGCCTGTCTCTAATCCCCTTTAATTCCCTTTATTCCCTGCACTCTGCTAGCAAAGGCGGGCAGATGGATCTCTGAGTTTGAGGCCAGCCTAGTCTACAGAGCAAGTCCCTGGACATCCAGGGCCACACAGAGAAACCGTGTCTAGGAAAAAAAAAGAAGGAAGGAAGGGAGGGAGGGAGGGAGGGAGGGAGGGAGGAAGGA